GGGCAGGCATTTATAAAATGAATTTAGATTTCTTGTTTACTCTTATTTCTTCCCCCTAACACATCTGTCATTCCTCACAAGTTCACTTCTTGCTACCAGAGTCATTAAACCATGTAAACTATTTGTTTTTGCTTGTTTTCTTATCCTGTTGCTGTGACAAAACACTCTGGCAAAAGCAACTTAAGGGAGAAAAGCTTTTTTTTTTGACTCACAATGTCAGAATTCAGCTTTTCACTGCAGGGCAGTCAGGGTGTCAGGCACTGGGTGTATCATGTATGGAGTGAGCATCAGTGAAGCAGCTGGATGTATCATGTATGGAGTGAGCATCAGTGAAGCAGCTGGATGTATCATGTATGGAGTGAGCATCAGTGAAGCAGCTGGATGTATCATGTATGGGGTCAGGAGCAGAGAAGCAGCTGGATGTATCATGTATGGAGTGAGCATCAGTGGAGCAGCTGGATGTATCATGTATGGGGTCAGCATCAGTGAAGCAGCTGGATGTATCATGTATGGGGTCAGCATCAGAGAAGCAGCTGGATGTATCATGTCCCCAGTCGGGAGCAGAGAGTAATGTATTAATGCATGCATGCTTGCTGTACTCAGCTTGCCTTCTTAATCTTCTGCAGTTGAGGGGATGAGTCCACTCTCCCTGCCCATGAATTTTCTAGTTCCACCACCCAAAGCCTCACTGAATGCCTTACCCATCAGCTTGACATTACACACAGTCCTCTAGAGCACAGGACAGTGGAATCCACTGATGTTTAGAACAAACAGTGGCGATGGCATGGTGAGATGGTGGATTCAATCTTCCAGTCTAGAATGTGCTGTATGCTAACTCACACTGCCATGTCTCACGAGCTCATGAGGCTAAGATCCAGCAATACAGGAGTGACCCTTTCCACTGCTAGAAGTGGGAGTGGTGACGATTCTTTCAAAGCCCATAGAAAATGTCCTCATTTGAACAGAACCTGTAATTACTGAGTGTGGGGGGGGCGGGGGGGGAGGGGAAGGAGGGAGGAGGGAGGAGAGGAGAGAGGAGAGGGTGGAGAGAGGGAGAAGAGGGGAGAGGAGAGGGAGAGAGAGGAGAGGAGAGAGGGGAGAGGGAGAGGGGGAGACAGAGAGAGACAGCAGGAAAGGTGGGGGGTTATAACTGTGAACAGCAAGGGTAAAGATTGCTTGTTCATGTTGGGAATAGGATGGAGGTTACTTGGGAACTTCATAAGGTGTCTCTAAAACTTTATACCCAAAAGTGGCTTTTAAGGAACAACAATGAACATAACCTCAACTGGAGGGCTCAGACTGAGGAAGGTCTGGGTCACCCCACCAAGCAACCTTCCCAGATGGCTAGATTTTAACTGTCCTCACTAATATTTGGAGTAAAGGGGCCTCCTCATTGTATCCCTGACTCATGTCTGTTAGCTTCTTTGGGGACTGAGTTGACAGCACGCCTTTTAACTTTATGGTGCCTTTTGGTATATAAAAGGTTTACATTTTGGTCAGGCTGTGTACGCTGCCCACATCTGTAACCCCACACCCAGGCGGTGGAAGTGAGAAGGTGCAGGAGGATGGAGAGTTCTAGGCAAACCTGGGTAATGAGCCTCCCATCTCAGATTTAAAAAATTAGGACTTAGGAAGAAATTTTATGCGATGCATGGCATCTAGCAAAGACGGAATCCAAACACTTGGGAATTCAAGTTTTTCTTACCCAGTTGTTTGTGTTGACTGGTCTTCAGAGCTTTAGAGGGTGGGCATTTCCGGCTAGCAGCACATGTGGTGGGGACACAGTAGCTCTGGGCGAGGTGATGTCACACTTTGCTCCATACCACTTCACTGTGTCACTTTTTATTGAAAATCAGCAATCTAACTTGGCTGTTTTCCAGTTTGTTGTTCATGTGAGCAATCAGAAATCCTTGTCCCTACAAGTTTCTTGTTCATTCCATAATACCTCTAAAAGCCTGCATTCTTATATAAAACACACTATGTATAAATAAGTATTCTGATGTCATGATACCCAGTAAATAAAAGTGTGCTTCCTTTATAAGATAAAAAGATGGGGGGCACCAATTAGGGATTCTATCATGGGTTATCCGTAGTCCCGCTTTGAAGCCCCTGTTGTAATTTGTCTGTCATTTTCCTTTCATCTTTTTCCATTTGAGGAATGATAATGTGACGGCATATGGGAGGCGTGTCTTCACTCACTGGGAAAAACGTCCCCTCAGCTTTGTTCGGCATACACCACTTGACCTCACCTGGAGTGCGTCTAAGACCCCCATGCTTTCTCTTGACCTTCTGCTGCATGCATTGATAATGATCTTTATTATACAAGTTGACTTCTCCTTCATAACTCACAGAGCAGCTCTATTCCATTCTCTAACCCTTGCTTCTACAAGAGTGTCTTGACTAGTCTTCGCTCAGCATCCTACCTAGGAACACGGAATAATGGCGTGTTCTTATAGAAAGTCTTTGTTTTTCTCCTGCAGCCTCTACTGTTCCTGTGAATAGAAGACCTTTCATCTTGTATAGTCACTGGCACACCGGCTTCCATATGTGGGTTGCTTTTGCCAGGGGTGCAGTTTGGCTTAGTAATTCTAATGATTTGCTTAGGTTTTTAAAACACAGAAGAGTTCAACATCTTTATAACGTGTATATATTTTTGAAAAATCCTGTGTATATTATCACCTTCAGGTAATACTCAGGTTTATATAGTTCTTTATTTTTATAGTACCAGGGCCTGAAGCCAGGGCCTCACACATTAGGCAAGAGCCCTGTAGCACCCAGTGACACTCGTCTCCAGCCTCCAGTACTCATTCTACCTTTTGGGTTGAGACAGTCTAAATTGCTCAGGCAGACCTTAAACTGACTTGGTGAGCTAGGCTGAACTTGCAGAGTGGCAGAGGTCATAAGCCTGTCCTACCAGGCTTGATTCCTTGGTTTGTTTCTAACTTGGTTTGCAGAAGGAAGGCTCACACAGCTTTGCGTGTTTGTCTAGGGGCCTCTTGCCCAGTTGCACTTATGCCCACTGATGGCCATAGAAGGAAGCGTTAGAACTTGGAACTGGAAGAGTGCAGCATATTTTACAGGGCTCCTCCTGGGGCCCAGAGCACCACACCCAAGACTAGTGTTCACATACTTTCTGCAAGATTAACTCTGTTAACCTTGGCACCTGAGATTCCCTTACCAAACTGGCTCAGCTTCAGAGCAGAATTCCGACTGCCGTGTGCGTTCTTGGGGAGGGCTACCAGGCTCACCCTTGCATCACCTTAATGTCAGAGCTGACACTTCCCAAGGAAGGAATGAAGCAGAATTTCTGCACCCTGAGGATGCTTCCTTGAAGAGGACCTGTAAATGGAACATGCCCACGAGGTCTCCAGCAGAGAACGCTGGCTTCTTGGTTGACCTGAGCCTTCCCATCATCTCCGGAACACGATGACCTTCTTTCTTGCTGGGCTGTGGTGTGTATATCTGCTGGTTTGTTTCTTTTTTTGTCTCCCCTCCTAGGGACAGCTCAGTCCTGCTGATCCCCACCATCAGGCCATGAGCCTGGAGCATCACAAGGTCCTGTAGTGGAGCTGGGTGAGGACTCATCCACTGACAGCTTCAAGGACAGACACTTCCTTTTTTCCTTTAACATTATTTAATATTTGGGAATTTCACATCAGGCACTCCAATACCACTCACCTCCCAGTCCTTTCATATCCTTCCCCCACCCTGCAGTGGTTCCCCTAAATGAAAATTTAAAAAAAAATCATAAAAAACAAAGAGAAAAGAAATGAAAACAACTACAGCAACCTCCATCCATCTTTCTCCCCCTCTCCAACACCTTTTCATTCTTCCTGGCGGCACTGGGAGCTAAGGTGTGTCACACAGTGTACCCTTTTGTTCAATCATTGCTTTGCTTGCAAATGTTCATTGCAGTGAGTCACTGGTCTGGTTCAAGGCCTTTGGTTTCTGGTACACCATCACCAAAGCTCCTCTTGGATCTCTTGCAGCCACCCTGAGTCATGGAGATCCTGTAGTTATTCCACAGGACCAGCCCCTTCACAAGCTCCAGCAGGTCCTAGACAGGGTAGATGTTAGGGTGGGCCAACCTAGGAATGGCTGTGGGCCTGGGTAGAAGTTGAGCTGGCCAGTCCAGGCTACTGGGGCTGACCCCTCAGGCAAGAGGTTCCCCTATACCCATGCCATCAGGATCAGCTCTCTCCTGCCCATGGTGAGGGGTGGGGCCATCTCTCCCACGTGCAGGGAAGCCAGCTCTCTTGCTACAGCATCCAGTGAGGGGCGGAGCCAGCTATGTTAGAGCCAGCAAAGGGCAGGGCCGGCTCAGCATGGAAGGGCAGGCACTCTTATGGCATTATCACCTGTGTCCCATGGCCATCTACAGTATCTAGACATTGTTGCTTAAGGCTGCATTCAGATATGAGGCAAAGCAGTCTACAACTCCTGTCTTCACTCCTCAAACATAGGGGAAAAAAATCCCCATTATGTGAGTCTTAGTTGAAGATACCTCCTGCAGCTGAAGGAATCAGGCTTCTCCTTTCTATGTGGACCTGTGACCCCAGGACAGCGTATCACAAAAGCACGGACATATGTATGCACACGCACACAAAACTCTGAATCCCCCTCAGGAGCAGCTGAGAAGTGCTTTCCATGGAGGCACAGAAAACAGACCTGAGGAAATGCTAAGAGCACAGAGAGCCAGAACCGAGCAGGCCTGGCTGCCTCGCGCCATCTTAGTTCTCCAGCCTTCCCTTTGAAAGTGAAATGCTCTCTTGACCTCCACCAAGTTTCAGTTTTGGCTTTGAGGGGGGACTGTGAACACATACTGCTTTTAATTCACTAACTAACCCGGCCTGGGCTCCCATGCTGACCAACTCTAAAAGCTCTGATTTTCATTCTATTTTGTTGGTACCCTTGAGTTTCTGAGAGGGTCTCACAGAATTCATCTCAACTACAGCAAAGTCGATGTGTGAATGTGTGTCTCCAGTACATAACACAGCGCAGGCAGATAAGAATGTTTTAATGACAGCCGGGATAGCAAGAGCAGCTCTGGTGCAGTTCTGACTCTGTAAGCAAGCAGGCTCTCTAGCACTGCCGCAGTCCACTCCGCCTGTGACCAGCAATCTGAGAAGCCTTAGGCCCGTTGCTTAGCACCTGGAAGACCAGTTGAAGATGGCTACTTAGGCTTTGTTTTTCTGAGTAAGACAACGAAACACAAGACAATAGAAACTACTTCCCCGGCTCATTGTGATCATACAGTAGTCATCTTACCAGCTTACTTCCCACAGCTGACAACATCTTTGGTGAGGAGTTTGCATGCACACAAAGCAAGAGCATCTTCAACTGGCAGAGTCTAGCTCAGCTGAACTTTGAAGCAATATGACCTCAGAATACTTGTTCCATTGCTTCTGGCTTCAACCCCAGCAATGCTCATGCTGTCACTTTTCACGTGGGTAAATCCACTACGAAGCAGAAGGACATGCCAAGCATTAACTTGGGATAAAGGCAAATGTTTACATAGAAAAGCTTTTACATGAGGACGGAATCCGACCTCATCTTCCCAACCCTATCCAGCCCATGCCACCCCCGTCTCCTCTGGGCTTCGATGGGACACGCTACCCCATTCTTCAGGGAGAAGACTGTGTCAGGTCCCTCCAGGAAGTGCTGCCTGCATCACAACGATTCTAGTGTGGTGAGAAACATCAGGGGAAATGGCCCAGATGTGCCTTCGTTATATTAAGTGCATCTCTACCAGTCAAAGGTGGTGTGCCCACATGAGTTCCCAGGACTGACTTTTTCACAAGGCCTTTTCAAGGTCTAACCCTGGTTTGGCCACATGTTCTCTGTGGATTATGCACAAAACATCGAAATCTGTCAGCTATTTCATTTGCAAAGTGTGTGTAATGCAACACGGGCTGACTTTGTGCAACATGGGAGACAACATACAGCGCACAGTGAGACTGGAAATCTGGATCATGGCCTTTCAGTAGCAGAGAAAGAAACACGATGTTCACAGTGGCTCATCCTGAGTCCCAGTTAATGAGGCTGGACTTACTCGTACTCCTTTAGAATCGGTCCTTTGAGCAGATGTGATGTGCACATCTGGTCCCAGCTATTCAGGAGAACGAGGTGGGAGGACCACTTGATGCTGGAAGTTCAAGGCCAGCCTGGGCAACACGTCAAGACTCGTTCCAAAAGAAAGAAAACCAACTGTCTTACCACTTTACAGACACAGGGCAGGAGAACAGACAATTACCTGGCCCATCTGTGAGACCCCCCGAGCAGTTGATAACAGCTCTTGAGGATGGGACATGTATTCTTCTTATCCCATACATAGACACGCAAGGACAGGTCCAAGGAAGAGGTGACGACACGGTTCGGATCCTTGAAATGAAGTCAAATGAGGTATGACTGTGGATCCCCAAGACTGAAAAGCATGTCTCGGGCAGGAAGTGCGGCACTCACCACCCACATGGACGTGATGGGCCTCTGGTGATCCCGGAAGGCCACCAGCTGCAGGCCGTGTATGGTGAATAGCACCAGCTCTGACCTGGAGGCCAGCAGGATCACTTGGGAGCCGTGGCCCTGCATGAGGTGAGGAGTCATAGTGCCCGGCAGGGGGAAGCTGGCCAGCTGTTGTGCTTGGGAGAATAAAAACACACAGGTTGTTTTTCAGGCATGGATAGGAGCTGCACCCAATGATGTAGTGCGGTGAGCTCTGCTCCTGGGCCAATTATTCAGACCCTAAATCCCAGTCCAGAAGCAGCAAAATTCTGGGGTGCTGCCACCCACACAGGAGGGGACCATGGGCTTGTTTACATCTGACGCCCAGGACCACACAGGGAGCAAACATGTCGTAAGTACCCCACCACTCGGGACATGGAAGCACACAGTAAAGTTTCTAGGACACTGGGCTCCTATTTCCCTGAAAGGGAAGAGAAAATGTCCTAGAGGAACAGTGAGGAGCCTGTCCTGAAGCACCAAACTGCAGACTGTGGCCAGCACAGGGACCTTACCCAGGATGCTCACTCTGTCCCTGGACTTGCTGGCCTTTAAACCGAAGGTAGTGATGGCCAAGTGCATGCCACTGTCATCTCGATGCATCACCATCAGCCTGGCTGCCTCATCAGGAGCCCAGCAGGCTCTGGAACTCAGCCTGACAGGGAGGGTGGTGGAGACAGGAAGCTCGTCTTCTAATGGGTGGAGCAAGGGCTGAGTGAAAAACACCTGGGGAAACACTCCGTATAGTCACAGAGTGGCAAGGGACCCCAGCGCTCCCAAAGCCCTCCAGCCAGCCCCAAGCTGACTTCAGCCTCTGGCAGGACTGTCTTTGGCAGCTGGCTCCCCACATACTCACACCCTCTATGCTGGGCCTTACAGGGTAGTCCAAGTCATGCTAATGTCCCCTTCTAGGCTGTGGGTTACAGCATCCCATGACCTCCATACCCAGCTGCTATTCTCTAGTGACTTGCTTCCTTGGGGGGGGTCTTTTGCTGTGCCCCACTAGCTCTTATTTCTGTGGTCTAACTTTCAGTTGAGGTCCTGGCATTCAATAAGGGTTGCACCTCTGGCAAACGACCAGACATCTATGTGCCTGTGAACCAGGTCATAGTCAGGACTTTGTGACGTGCAGGACATTCCTCTTGACCACAGTGCTGGAAGGAGAGCAAAACTGCCCTCCCTCCCTCCCCCCCCGTATGCTCTCCTCTCCTGAACTGGGCCTCACTGTTCCACTGTCTTCACAGCATCCTCAGCACACCAGGCTGCTCTTCAGGAGTATCCTGGTGCAGATGCCCAAGCCCAGACTTGTTCAGAACTGACTTCTTCCCTCACCAGCAGAGAGCTGGCCCTTCCAGATCATAGCACAGCAAAGAGGTGACAGGGACTGAGCTTCCAGGAGGAGAGGCACACCCCTGGCTGGCTATGGGGCTTGGTCCTGTAACGATGGCTTGAGAACCCAGCTTGCAGTCTCGGGGCCCAGGATCTTGAGCCCCATCCTGTGGATGCTGGGCTTTTTATTTTTTATTCTTTTACTCTTTTGGGTGCCCACCACCCGGCTCCCCAAATAAATCACACAGAGGCTTATTCTTACTTATGAATGCCCAGCCTTAGCTTGGCTTGTTTCTTGCCAGTTTTTCTTAAATTATTCCATCTACCTTTTGCCTCTGGACTTCTATCTTTCTCTATTTATGTGTATCTTTTCTTTCCTTCTTATTCTATGTCTGGCTGGTGGCTGGCCCCTTCTTTGCTGGCTCCTCGATCTCCTCTCTTCCCACATGTCTCCTCCTTTTTATTCTCTGTCTGCCAGCCCCGCCTATCCTCTCTCCTGCCTTGCTATTGGCCGTTCAGCTCCTTATTAGACCAGTCAGGTGTTCTAGACAGGCAGAGTAACATAGCTGCACAGAGTTAAACAAATGCAGTGTAAAAGAATGAGACATCTTTGCATCATTAAACCAATGTTCCACAGAATAAACAAGGGTAACACATCTTAAACTAATGCTCAACAACGGCCTCCCATTCCATTAGGCTTACCAGGGACAGGGCTCCCCAGGCACTGACCTTTGGGCCTACACCTGACCCTTGTGGCAACACAGACACCCACTGTTGGTCAGGTGAGCATGTGAGGCTCACAGAGGTGTGAGGAAATGTGGCCACTTTGGAGACCACTCGCAGCTGAGGCACTGTCAGCGTATAGAGGTTCCCTGCAGCACAGGCCACCTGGGACAGAGAGCAGGTAACAATGGGGATTACCACCCTCTTCTGAAGGAGCTGTGCCCTGCTCTTGCCCCGCCAATGGGTGGGCACAGCTCACAGCAATGTAAGTCTTCAGAGTAGAGCCTCAGGCCCCTGTAGGGGTTTGGCATGTGACCCTCTAGTGTCCTTCCAGTCAATGGCAGAGGCAGCCTGCCTATGTGTTAGACATTTAAAATGTTTCCTCTCACACTGATGGCAACTTAAAAAGTCAAAAGAAAATGTGTCCTGGTCTGGGAAGATCTGTCAGGGGTACAAATGTCACTACAATTACTGCTCCATTGAGCGCCCCTATCTAGACACTATCCACACATGCAGGCATACATTCAGGGGATGCCTAAAATTAGAATTATTAGGTCAAAGGGTAAGCATATAGAATTAATAGGTCAAAGGGTAATAAGCATATATAAAATGTTTCACAAAATTAAAACAACCAGAAAACTCTGGAAACTAATTCCAAGCACATTCCCACCTAACATATAGAAAAATAAACATTTCAAGGCTTCTTGGTAAGGTGCCCATCCAGACTGGGCCGCCTGCATGCGACCTGGTGAAGGATGAGAATCAGAACAGGAAGACACGATTTCAAATGCACAAAGGTAGTGACAACAGCTGAGAGTGTGGAGGAAGAGGAACAGCTGGCACCGGAAAGACAGCCAGCTCCAACCATGGCTCTGTGTGTGTGTGTGTGTGTGTGTGTGTGTGTGTGTGTAAGCCAAAGCCTCATTGAAAAGTAAGCCAGGCCTCATTGGTGACAAGGACTTCCTATCTTATTCTCAAGGCAAGTCCACACCCCTCACACGCAGCTGCAGGTTTGGGTGACAGCATGCTTTTTCCAGTGGATAAGTCAGTGCTGGAGAAGACGCATTGTGTCACTGTATGATGCAGGGGGCATTATCCAGGAACTATGGTTTGAGGGAACCTATTTAAAACGGTGCCTCCCTGGGGCCCTGAGTGCAGAGAAGAAACCCAAGTCAGGGAGCCTTAACCCGCTGCAACCCCGGGGTGAGAGCCCTTGAAGGCAGCGGTAGAGGCAACAGGAAGGGCAGACACCATCAAGTTGAAAAATAAGAGTGTCAGGAAGTGCCCGGTGTAGACTGACAGCCCCACCCTTGATGGCCAGGAGCCAGGTTCCCCCTAAAAATCTGGTAAGAATGAATGAGTGAAGAACACAAGAAAGCAAGACCACGTGGCTCTAAAACCACAAGGACTCCAGACAGCAGGGTCCCCACTACAGAGCAAGGCTGATGCCACAGGGGAGTCGGAAGGACGCAGGAGCCTGGTGGAATGCCAGGAAGGGGGTCTGCTGTGAAGAGGGATCCAGACTCCTCCCATCCCAGCGGCTTAGACAAAGAGGCAGTTGGGCCCTGTGGGGCTCCTGAGAATGGGATCACTCACCATCAAGAAGGAGCCCTCTGGGTGGCTACAGGCCTCCATGGATGAGCAGGAGGTCGGCAGGCAGAACGAGGCCCACTCAGATCCCGTATCCGCTTTCCACCCGATGATCAAGCCCTGTGTGTCCACTGTGACAACCAGCTGCAGCAGAGGATAGGCCACCAAACTCACCAGGGGAGCAGGCTGCACAGGGCTGGACCAGATCTCTGTGCCCTGGCAACAACAAAATTAACATAACTGACTGGCACAGGGGCCCATTTATTTCATAGATACAAAGTATTTTCATGAGTCAGCACAAACACACAGCAGACCTTCACAAAATGCTTAAGGAATCCTGTATCTGGATGTAGAAGAAGGGAAATTATGAAAACAAGCAAAATAAGCCAGGTATGGTATCTCAACCCTGCAATCCCAGTGGTAAGGATGGGGCAGGAGGATTGCTGTAAGTTCCAGGTCAGCAAGAGCTAAGGGAAAAACTCCAACCTGGTATCAAGAAGCCAAAGAAAAGCCAAACCGTTAACTGTTAATTTGAAGGATTAGGGAAAGGGATAGAGACTGTTAATTTGAGTTAACTAGATTTTTTATTGTTTATTTAAAGTGACTTTAGCCCCCACGACAAACTAGGAATTGAACCCCAAGCATCATATATGCCAGGCAAATGCTGCCCCACAGCTAAAGTCCTAGCTTGCTGTTTTTGTTTTAGGAGCTTTCAAGGCACACAACCACACAAAGAAGCCAGCTGTGGTTCACACACCCTCAATCGCCTCCAAAGAGTCCACGCAAATACTGTGCTACCGGGAAGCAAGTTTCAGGGTGACACAGCACCAGTGTTAACAACTGAATCTTTAAGGAAGATCTGCTCATGAACAGGACTAAGGTTGGGAAGCCAGGCCAAATGGCAGGAAGGGCTTCAGGAAGGCTGAGGTGTCCCACACTGGAAATAATGAAGTGCTAATTCAATGTCTGGAGCACCATGGTCTGCCTGCAGCCACACGGGCTGTTGAGTATTTTTGTATTTGGTTTAAAAACAGGATATTCAATGAAATCATGTATTATTGGAGTATGCTACTCTCGCCTGTTCATACACTGTCTTGGCTCCTTTAGTATCACAGCAGCAGAGTTAAGTTATGACAGGAGATTCTGGCCTAAGAGGAGTTAAATATTTTTAGTCTAGTTGTTTAAAGAAAACACTGTGAACCCGTATGGCAAGACACTCTATTTTCTCTTGGAAAGCTCAAACTAAGGAAAGCCCTACCCTCAACTTCTTTTTAAATTATCTACTTAGTCATTAGTGTGTGTGTGTGTGTGTGTGTGCGCATGTGTGTGTATGTGTGTCTGTGTGTGCACATGCATGAGGCAGAAAGAGTAGTCTGCAAGTTCTGGGCTAATATGGGCTACAGAGTGAGATCCTGTCTCAAAACAAAGAAGCAAACAAATGAACAAAAACCACTCTAAAGTCTTCAGTTTTTACATCGCACCAGCACTAACAAAAGTTTAAAATTCTAGGGCAGCTGTCCAGTTTGATGTGCACATGGGGAGGACCAAAAGCTGTCATCTTGCAAAACTTGGGCAGCATGAGTTCCAGCATGGAGGCTCATGACTAAGTGGCTTGCAGTAAAGTGAGGAATGTCAAAACAGCTGTCATCACAGGCACAGGGCACAACAACCCCCAGCAAGAGGAAGCCGAGCATGTGTCACGTGAGATGTGTTACACTCAAATTTCAAAAGTCCTCCATGTTATCAGAATGTCCTACTGGTGACAGCTGATGGCAGAGCTCAGATTTCTCATCTTCAAATTAGGGCTCCTACTCTTTATTAAGATGACCAAACCAAGGACACAGTAGGGACCCTTCCCTCCTCAGGGGACAGCTCACCTGATGAAGATCCCAGGCACGCACGGTACAGTCTGAAGACACAGTGCAAACCACGGACCTTGCCATTTCATCAAAGCGGTACTCATGGGGCGAGACGTAGGCCAGCTGATCTATCTTTCCTGGAAGACAACACACGCACAGATAGACTCAGATCTGATGCACAACTGTTCCTCTTCTCTGGTTTCAGGAACACAATGAGTGCTTGCTTAGGGTACACGGAAGAGATGGAGTAATTCATACCCAGGCAGCTGGTGGGTGAGCATTCCTGAGAGCCAAACCCAGTTATAACCAGAGGCCTGGCCTTTCCTCTTTGAGTTTTCCAGGCAACTCTGAAAAGGAGGTGACACCCATTCCTTCCTCCCATGACACAGCATCCAGCAAGACCCACATTCATCAAGTGGCACTTGTCAAGGCATTAGCTGAGACGCCAAGATTCCCTAAGATTTGACCAGAAGAAGGTGGGCATTGGGAGTGGACATGGCCACTATACTCATACCTTCATGCCCAGAAATAGCTTTGCTGATGAAGTCCTGTGGCCGCCCAGATTCCACACGGAACTCCAGCTCAGACCGGCAGAAATAGTACTGCTTCCATGTTTGTGTGCCCAGGACCACTGGGAAGGCTCTGCAGGAGGCCCAGCGGCTCAGACACAGCTGCCTGAAACACAGATGCAAGCTTAGGCAGAGTACAGCAGCCTGGTTTCTGGAGCCAGGAGATGTAGCTTTGGATTCCAGCCTTACCTCTTTCTGGCTTTGAAACCCCAGATAACTCACTGTCCCTAACCAGTCCTCAACTTTCTCCTCTATCAAATGGGGGCAGGGCTAAGAGTAAATGGATGCTGACATGTCAGTCACGCTGTACTTTTTATGCGCCAAACTGCCTTCACGGTAGCCCTCTGGAGAAGGCACTCACTATCATCTTACACTTGGGGACACAGAGGCTAAACGACTGGGAGTCAGGAGTCTGCTTTTTTAAGTCTCCAACTGTTTGTGTCAAACTCCATTTGCCCTGTACTTCTGTCAGGCCTTGTTGCCCGGGGCATACGCAGGGCCGTATCTTCTCCTGAGGTTCATCTATTTATCATTAGGTAACATACTTCTTTACATGTCTGATCTCAGTCTGCTCTGCCTGGTGACTTTAGTCACCCAGCTTTCTTCAGAGCTGTTTGCACGGATGTCTTCCTCCACATCCTTACTGTCAGCGTATCTGTGACTTTGAATCCAAAGTGTGTCTCAGAGATGGGGACACAGCACAGCGCTAGAGTGCTCGCCAAGCGTGCGCACTGGGACTCAGTGGATTTGATCTCCAAATCTTGTAACAAAAACAGAAAACTAAGTGTATCTCATGTATACAGCACTAAGTTGGACTATTTTTCTTTGTCAATTCTGTCTGTCTTTGCCTTAGGTTGTATAATCATCTTTGTTATTTTAGTGTGTTCTTGTCTTAAGCCCCCCCCATTTAACTACCATCATATTTGTATTAAGAATGGTTAAATGATCTGTTTCAATTTCTTTGTCATTTCCTCCACCTCCACCATGTTTTTCAGTTGCTTTAGTGGCTGACTTAAAGGTTATAGCTTAGAATTTGATGCAGCAACGGCTGCACCAGTCACTCCATCCATTCAGACAGTTTCTCTGAGTCACATACTTGGCAAGACCTACCTTTACCCAAATTACCTGGGACTACTTAAAAGTCGGTTCTTCAAAGAGTAGATAGAAGAATGGATCCCAACGGAAGTCCGCTTCAAAACTAACCGGGATTGTCTTTCTAATCAATATTAGCTACAAAGCTAATAAAAAGCAACAAAAGAACAGTGTTCTATGATGCTGAGGATGGAATATGCTAAGATAACCTTGAAATAACCAAGAATTCCAGGGTGTCACCGTTATCCTAAATAAGAGCAGACTCCCTTCCAGATGTGAGGAAGTTTCACATTTGAACAGTTGTTCTCCATCAGGGTGAAAATGTAACTCCTACCTAACCCTCAAGGGCCCTACATTCAGAGGTAGGAGAGGCTGGTCCCCACCCCCCCTGCTGTTAGTTTTATCTTGGTATAAAAGATATCATGTTCCAAAGAAGGAATAAATTAGAAGGCCTTAGAAAATTTAATGTTTTAAGTATTTCTATTTTCAACAGTGATTCTTTTCATGTTATACAGTCTTACATTCCTATGCCATTGTAACATAAGAAGTATTGGGCACAATGGCACATGCGTCCAGTTCCAGGACTCAGGAGGGTTAGGCAGGAAGATCACAAGCTCTCAAGGCTAGCCTAGGCTACAAAGTAAGTATAAGGCCATCCTGGCTAGAAAAATGTATCCGTTAATTTTTCTTTTACTTTTCATTTATTTTAAGTAATTTAACTATACTGACAGAAACTGCAGGAAATGAATCCAGCTGGTTGAGTTGAGTTTGGCAACCCGTCAATGTGCACTCTTACACTATTAACCACAGAGGATTTTCCTCCTGGGTAAGGACCAGGAGTAATCCTGTCTCTGTCCTCAATAGAGGTGAAAGTGATGACAGCACTCAGGAACCACTTCCAGTGGACGTCTCTCCTTCACCACCACCCTTGGCTCTTCCTTCACTCACCTCCACAGCTCCTTGGTCATTGATACCTCATTCCAGACCTAGAATAAGGACAGGGAAAGACAGTATCTGGTCAGTCAGTAAGTATTAATACCTCATTCCAGACCTAGAATAAGGACAGGGAAAGACAGTATCTGGTCAGTCAGTAAGTATTAATACCTCATTCCAGACCTAGAATAAGGACAGGGAAAGACAGTATCTGGTCAGTCAGTAAGTATTAATGCCTCATTCCAGACCTAGAATAAGGACAGGGAAAGACAGTATCTGGTCAGTCAGTAAGTATTAATGCCTCATTCCAGACCTAGAATAAGGACAGGGAAAGACAGTATCTGGTCAGTCAGTAAGTATTAATACCTCATTCCAGACCTAGAATAAGGACAGGGAAAGACAGTATCTGGTCAGTCAGTAAGTATTAATACCTCATTCCAGACCTAGAATAAGGACAGGGAAAGACAGTATCTGGTCAGTCAGTAAGTATTAATACCTCATTCCAGACCTAGAATAAGGACAGGGAAAGACAGTATCTGGTCAGTCAGTAAGTATTAATACCTCATTCCAGACCTAGAATAAGGACAGGGAAAGACAGTATCTGGTCAGTCAGTAAGTATTAATACCTCATTCCAGACCTAGAATAAGGACAGGGAAAGACAGTATCTGGTCAGTCAGTAAGTATTAATACCTCATTCCAGACCTAGAATAAGGACAGGGAAAGACAGTATCTGGTCAGTCAGTCAGTATTAATACCTCATTCCAGACCCAGAATAAGGACAGGGAAAGACAGTATCTGGTCAGTCAGTCAGTATTAATACCTCATTCCAGACCTAGAATAAGGACAGGGAAAGACAGTATCTGGTCAGTCAGTAAGTATTAAGCACCTGAGTTACAAAACTCCACAGAGGGGACAAAGAACGAAACCAGCCCAGTTTCTGCATTCAACATGGCTCAACCTGGAGCATTAAGAACAACAGATAATTAAAAATCATCAAATGATGAAAAAGAAGAGACTCAATGGGGTTGATGAGTCAGGGCCTAAGGACTCAGAGAAACAATAACGAATGAAATAGTGGGCATCTGTTCTAAAGCAGTGTAGGGAAACACACTGGATGCACAAATGATTCATAATTATGAAAAGGCTAGTTTAGTAATTTGCCTCAGTTTAGAGCATAAGGTTTTGGTTGAAGAACTGGGAAAAGGAGCTGGCTGGGTGGCTTCTGCCTCTCCTAAATGTCTCCACGGAAAAATACTGATAAGCTACTGGAGCATTTTGAAAGGGGGAATACCGAGGCGAAGCTGTGTTTAAGTAAGGTCTCTCTGCTTGCTGTGAGGACTGGAAATGACTTCAGATATTTTATGTGGGGTTGCAGCAACGGGGATGTCTTAGAGCTGCCACAACGGTCCAATGGGAACAGTCTTCCAGGGCAGGCGCTATGCAATCCCTGCCCTCACTTCCCTCTGCAGAGCTATCTGCGGTCCAACGGGAACAGTCTTCCAGGGCAGGTGCTATGCAATCCCTGCCCTCACTTCCCTCTGCAGAGCTATCTGCGGTCCAATGGGAACAGTCTTCCAGGGCAGGTGCTATGCAATCCCTGCTCTCACTTCCCTCTGCAGAGCTATCTGCGGTCCAATGGGAACAGTCTTCCAGGGCAGGTGCTATGCAATCCCTGCTCTCACTTCCCTCTGCAGAGCTATCTGCGGTCCAATGGGAACAGTCTTCCAGGGCAGGTGCTATGCAATCCCTGCCCTCACTTCCCTCTGCAGAGCTATCTGCAAGATGCTTAGGATGCCTGAGTGTGCTGTTGCATGCCTGTAACCAGAGCACTTGGGAGATGGAGGCAGGATGATAGGTTTAAAGTCATCCTTGGCTGGATAGCTAGTTCAAGACCAGCCTGAACTATGAGACTCTACCCCAAAAAAAAAAAGAAAGAAAAAGAAAAAAAGAAGTTTTTTTTCATCCAGTAACGATGTTGTCATTTTGTGAAATTAAATCAAGCAAAGATCTAAGCATCTTCCCACTGAAAGCCAACTTGGATGTCAGTTCTCAGATAGAAAATGTAGCATGTGGTGGACTCTAAAGAACAAATGCTAGCCATCTTCAAGATTACTGACCTCGTTTAACTAATTGGGTTGATCATGACCATAAAAAGTTGGCGATACCAAAGGGCAGAAGGAATTCTCTTTCAAAATCTGTCCCTAAACCGTGCCAGTCTACGATGCAGAAACAGTAGGGAAGTCAACTCGAGCCCTGCGCATGACTCATCATCACCTCAGAGAAGTCACTGTGCGATAGACTCAGTTTCTTGACGCGTAAACATGGGAGTGAAACTCAGTAGTTTCCTAGATATGCTTAGAACTATCCTGGCAGTTGTGAGGATACTCTCCGGGCTGAGAAGCCCCTGGGATAAGTGAGCATCCCTATCTTCCCTCCTTGCCAGAGGCATTGTGCTGGCAACTGGGCACCTCTGCTTGGGTTCTGCTTTTAAATTTAGCACTGGGCCACACTGGTTCCATATAGGAAACCAAATTTACCCAAGTGTTCCCCAGACTCTGCCAGGTACTTAGCAGGCCGTGCCAACTCGAGTACACCCTGTTTCAATCATTTTCAGTGGAACCCGAGGCACCGGATAGAAATGGAAGACTTTTTAAAATGCCTTTTTATTAAAAAAAAAAAAAGGTAAAAGTGGCCTGTGTGTAATGTGTTAAATTAACTAACCTATTTTCAGAGGAAGAGATCATGTACTCATTCATTATGTGATTGTGTTAATTTCCACATGGTAGGAATAAGATCACTTCCACAATTTTTGAGACAAATCTGAAGCAAGCTTTATCAAATACTGGCCAGGATGATGGGCACTGGCCAGGCCCATACTTGGAATTCCCAGAGAACGGCACCAGATTACAATTGACAGGAGCTTCTAAAGGCACCACCCACCTTTGTCCAGTAAGGAGTAAGCATACATCCTGATGTACTTCCTGCCTGTCAGTGATCAAGCACACCCTGTACAGATGGGTCAACCAACCTTGTTTACAGAAGTGAAAACACTTGGCTTGTTATCTCACATAGACAACACCCCCCAGCATTGCAGGAAGTTACCTGTCCTTGGGCAAGTAGGGCTTACAGGCTAGAGGCAATTTTGTCTACAGAGATCTAAGCAGGATAATTTAAACTTAAAACATAACTTTAGCCATCTCAATGGATAAACCAAGATTTTAAAAACAATTCTGCAGAGAGACAGTCATGCCCTCTATTTTTCTCTCCAGGGTGTGGTAGGCCAAAGTGTAGAAGACAACACATTTACGAACTGTGGCCATGTAGGGTAAGGTCACAGGCTCACAAAATTTTGGCAATAGATAGGAAGTGAAAGAAGTGGCTTAGGGGCACTGTCAAACTTCCTCAGGTTTAAAAACCAACAGTGGCAGACAGGGAGGTCCCTCGACTGGTCCAGTGCATGGCTAGCACAAGGCTCTGGGTACATTCCCCAGAACTACAAAGGAAAACATTAGATGATGCTTATCTACACACTTGAGGTCTAGGACCTTCAGCCTCACTGCCAGACGTCACCTCTGGGTCCTTTGATGAAGTCTAAAGCATGACACACTTGCAGTTTGAAGGTTTTGGCAGTCGACAAAATTCGAATGAACAGTGTTGGTATCTTTCTGTGGGTACAAGTTTTAAAACTGAACTGGCTTGAAACTGCCTATCTTAGGTGCTTTGCTCAAGCAAGGATTTGTCCAGCCTTATGAACACTGATTCACTTAACGAAGAGACTAAAATTCAAGGCATGCACCAGGTAGTTGGGATAGGCATTGAAGAGAGTTTAGCATCTTTCCCGTCACAGTTCAGTAATGACTCTGGCAGGGATAAACAGACACCTTACATTAATAGTGATTGTGTCGCTCTGTACCGAGTCCTTGAGAGGAAGCGCACAGCAGGGCACGGATAGTGCAGACGACAAGCAGGGCAGAGGCGCGGTCAAAAAGGCAGGCAAAGGGTAAGTGGTAAGGAGGCGCCACCCACGGCCTCCGGGTAAGGAAGGGAGCCGGCGGCAGGCAAAGCCAATCCCTGGAGGGGACTCCGGGAGCAGGGCGACTCCGCCGAACCTCACCTTGTTCACCTGCGCCGCGAGCAGCAGGTCGCGAGCCTCCAGGAAGGAGAAGACGTGCAGCAGCTCGTGCGGGCCAAGCTGCGCGGCCATCCTGCTCGCCAAGCCCCAGCCCAGCCGCCGCCTCTCTTCCGCCACCGTTAGATAAACCCGCCCACCAGCGGAATTTGTGCTTGTTACTTCCGCTCTGGGGCTTGCCTTTCCCTGAGCCTGTTCTGGTCCAGGCAATACTTGAGTTTGGGTTTCTCTGCCTCTTCCCCTAAAATAAGCTTTCGTCCTTGCCGGGTCCTGACTTCAGCCTCCTCTGTGTATGCGATTCTATAATGCTTTTACTACCAACCGTGCCAGCACATGTACATTTGGTCTTTTCCAGAAACTGTTCAGTAGGACAAAGAGTAGGAAGCATGCATCTTCTATTGTAATAAATTGCTTCCTCTGCTATTTACCACAGTTTATAGCTGCTGTTAAAACCACCCACAAACCCTGTTGGGATGGTGCACACCTTTAATCCCAGCACTTGGGAGGCAGAGGCAGGCAGATCTCTGAGTTTGAGGCCAGCCTGATCTACGGAGCTAGTTCCAGGACAGGCTACACAGAGAAACCCTGTCTCAAACACACACACACACACACACACACACACACACACCAGGAACAAATAAATTTATCCTTAAAGGAAGGGGCGAAAGTGTTGAGTACTGTGTGTCTGTAATGAACTCTTCTCTACCCCTTGAGGGATGGGGAGACAAGCTAGAGCTGCCAAACCACTGCCAGAGCAGCAACAAGTCCAAATTCCCGTCCTCGGCGAGCGACAACCATTTCTGCCACTAATGTGCAGGTGGAGACATTTCCCCAAGGAGTGTGAGAGCCAAAGTTACATTTTAAGTTTCAATTAATGTGCCTAGGAGAGTAATGAAACAATAAGGCCTCCGATCTGCAAGCCCCTTGCCCAAGGACAGATAGTTCTGGAAGCTATTGTTTATGGGAGATAGCAAGCCACCTGTTTTCACTCCCCTGAACAAGTTTGTTTGACCCATCTACACCACATGTGCTTGATCACGTGGGCAGGAGGTACGTAGGCATACGTCAGGATATATGCTTGCCCCTGCTTGGACCTGATGGGAAATGCAATGAATTGTGGGTTTTCTTTCTTAAGCTGCTGCAAGCTGTGATTCTGGGCCATTTCCTGGGAACCTAGGTATGAACATGGCCCAAGCCCATCTACCAGGCCAGTATTTAATTAAAGCTTTCTTTAAATTTGGCTTTAAACTGTGGTAGTGTTCTTATTCCCAATCTGTGGGATTAATAAGAGGGCCACACCTTCCCCAAACAAGATGAGACCTGTGTGGTACCGAAATGACCTCAGTAACATCATCTTGTTTTGACTCTGGGTTGTCTTTGCTTAGATAGCTTGCAATCCTCTACATCCTGCCCTCAACCAGCACCTCTGCCTTGGCAGCTTATTTGAGATTTCCATGGCCTTGACCATGGTCCAGATGAATTAACTAAAATAATAAGTAAACTAAAATAATTAAAAATACATAAGTAAAAAATGGCATGCTATGTCTAAAATAATTGCTATGCTGTGCCAGTAATGAGTGTTTGAAGGTTACCCTGACCCTCACTAACTTGGATGTAAATCATGGTCTTTGTGGGGTTTGTCTTTAAAAACTCTGTAACCCTGAGCTTGGACACCAAGAGACTTTTCAGAGGCACAAGCCCACTGTTGTCTGGCCATCAAAATAAAAGGACTTAAAACCTTTAATTGGCTTAATCAGAATGGTTGTCAGTAACCATCTCCTGTGGATCATTTCAGTGCACCGCAACCAGGATGCTTGAACACGGAAAAAAAATCTGATTTCCTCCAGGGACAGAAATGATTGCTTTGAGTTTATGCTAAGGCTGGACAGAAGGGGTGGCCAAGAAGAGTATGGAGCAGAGAGGTAAGCTGATGGCTGCCCTAGACTATGCCTACGGAGCCTCTGGGCACCTGGTCCCCTTCCCAACACATGTCACTCTCACCTTCGCTGTAGAGCTCCTAAACCTGGGATGACCGAGATGTGCCCCCCCCAGACCTGCCCTAGAGGGATCTGGGGCCTCCAGATGTGTACACATGATCCTTGTGCATTGCAGCGTCACTGAGGGGCTACCAGTCTTTAAAACCATCGACCCGAGTTACATGAAAAGGGACTGCATGCTTAGAGTAAAGAGATGATGAGATCTTTAAAAGTCAAATTATTATAGAAATTTTAGGGCCCAAGTCATAAGTCCAGTGAAGCACCCTACATTCACTCCCTAACTAGTAAATGCCAGCATGTTTAATCCAGGGAAGCACAGAGCTTCCTGAGTCTATCTGTAGTAGGGTCACTACTGCTCTCATTAATAAAGTAAAAAGGGCCCTTTTTGTGGTGTGATGATAAATGTCCTTTACTGTCTCATGTGTTTGTACCATTGGTTCCCAGTAGGTGGCACTGTTTTGGAAAGCTGGGGAAACTTTGAGTGTGGGGCCTAGCTGGGAATTCTTGTTGTTTTTGGGACTCTAGTTCCTGACTAGTCTGAAACTCACTATGTAGACCAGGCTGGCCTAGAACTCACAGCAATCCATTTGCCCTGCTTCTAGAGTACTGGGGTTAAAGACACACGCCACCTTGCCTAGCATGTTCTGTTTTTAAGTTCTTTTTATCTTCTTACTGGTTTTGCTTTTGGGTTTGATTTATGTGTATACACTTTTCATTATTAATTATTGCACTTATAGAAGAGTTTGTTTGGAATTTACAGTTTCAGAGGGTCAGAGTCCATGACCATCGTGTCAGGGAGCCAGGCATGGCACTGGAGTGGTAGCTGAGAGCTTACATCTTGAGACACAACCGCAAAGTGGAGAGACAGATTGGGTTTTGAAACTTCAAAGCCTGAGTGAGACGCCTCTTAGTCCTTCCCAAACAGTTCCACCAACCAGAGATTAAATATTAAGTGTATGAGCCTATGGGCATCATTCTCATTCAGATCACCACATAAACTATTTGTTTGCCACTTTTTTACTTGGGTTTCTTTTTTATTCTAAAACTTATAGTATATGTTAACTGTATGAGATAAGAAACTTTATTGTGACATTTCCATACATGAATGGAATGAACTTTGATCATCTTTGATCTTTATTATTTTTTGTTGACCTTGCACTGGGGTTTGTTTTGTTTTTACTTTTCCATAACCTTGAAGTGTATCATTCAGTTGTTCAAGATAACCTTGGTTTTATGATATAGAAATTTATAGTCATGAACTCCTCTCCTGGACCTGTTTTATTCTCCTCTCTGTCTCTGTCTCTGTCTCTCTCTCTCCTTCCTTTTTTCTTCCTTCCTTCCTTTCTTTCTTTCTTTGTTCTTTGTTCTATCTAGCATTGGACAGTGATCTCATTCTCCACAAGTTATCATGGTGGTAATGGAGGAGGAGCTCAGGTCCAGCCCCTCTGATAAGGAAGCCCTCAAGATCTCGATGACCTTTGCCTGTTACACATTTGCAGAGATGAAGCATGTCTGTTGCACCCACGCAGACACTTGGCTAGCTGGGAAGATATTGGACAGGTGCATCAAGGCCTCCAACATCTCCACTGAGGTGGACATCATGGAATCTCTATAGCATCCGGATATCAGTAAACTCTTCTTAGCTGACAGGCCAGCGAAGCCTTCTTTGATCATGGAATTTGTGTCAGGGGCATGTGGAGAGTGTCACAGAGGCACTGGCTGTATCAAGGAAGAGGAGGCACACTTCATTTTTCACCCAGTGGTGTCAGTGTTAATTATGTTCATGAAAGACACATTGCCCACCCAGAAATAAAACTGGAGACTATCCTAGTGGATGTGACAGGAAATGCCAGTGATTTAGATTGGCTACAGAAGTCGCCACTTAGCAAAAGCTGGAGAGGGTCCATGCCACCTTTCCTTTTTCACCCAAGTGATACTGACTGGAGGGCAGAGGCTCTCAGGGACTTGCACTGACATGTGGTGCCTTGGCATAGTGATTTATAATATGGTCATTGGTTGCATACCACATAAAGCATCAAGCCCTTCAGATCTGCACTGGCTGATCACAGCCATGCACTACCAGATTCCAACCAAATCTGTCTAAAAGCATGCAACATCTCTTTGCATACCTGCTCAAGTACAGGATGATTATATGCCAGTCCAAGGGCCGTCCGTGTCTATTCTGTTGGGAAGAAGAATGTTTACCACTGAGTTCCATAAAAACAGTCCCCGGAATCCCAGTCACTAGCATTGTGGAAGCCTTGTGCACCACGGGATAAAACCTCCAGGGAGTCGTGACATCTGCAAGCAACAGCAAATTTAGCGAGGTGAAGCAGCGTACATTGTACTGCAGCATTGTCTGAACCATTGACACACACGTCAGCCGACAGTGACGCCTGGGCCACCCTGTTTTGAAGTGGTTCCAGCAGGCCCTCTCCACCTCTTTCCCTGGGGGAAGGGGACAGGGACCTGCTTTTCTTACTTTCCTCTCATCTGGAAAGAGCGCGTTGTAGGAGGAGGATGAAAGCGGAAGGGTGGAGAGCTGCAGATGCTGCCTGGTATACAGTGCTGCCTGGAGAAGAGAACTCTGCTACCCAGGCCTGTGGAATAGCGCTGTGGTACCAGCGACACAAACAACAGTGTGGGCGAGATTAACGCTGGCACGACATCCTGGGATACCCCATTTCACCAGTTAGATCCCTCCAGGCTCCTCCCTGAGCAGCATCCGATAGAGATGCAAACATTGCCCAAGTCCAGACAGGCAGGACGTAAGAAGAAGAGGGTAGGAGAGGGAAGGGAAAGGGAAGTGGGGGGGGAGATGGGAGAGGAACGATAGAGAATGAAGGGGGGGTTAGTCTGTCCTGAGGAAATTCTAGTTACCGAGGTGAGGGGAAAGGGAGGGGAGAGTTGTCTGGCTCAGAGGCCAGGGACAGGCAAGAGCAGGGCAAAGGTCCCCTGAGGAGTAGAGTTGCAGGGGGCAGGGCATGGGCAGCCATGAGGAAAGGAACGCCTGGCTTCAAGGTACACAAATGGGAGGTAGCCTTGGCAATCCGCTGCTGTAAGGGTAGGAGAGGGCGGGCGCGCGCATGCGCGGCAGGTGTAGCCGGACAGAAGGGAAGCCCCGTGCTCGAGTGGAGACCGTTGCTCTTCCTCTGTGCAGGACAGTCCTGGACAGTTCCGGGCCACGTCTCTCTTTGCCTTCTCATCTTTGTCCAGTTGCCTGTGGCGTTGTCTGTTGTTCCCTTACCATGATTCCACAAGCTCTTCTGATTTTTCCCTACAATCCAGGGGATTCCTGGACTTTCACTTTGACTGGACCTCTGAGAAGGTGCTATTCCACTTTGGAAAGATAAGTAGGTCCTGCCAGGCCTTGGACACAGCAGCCCTCACAAGGCCAGCAGTCACTGGTCTACTTTGTGCCCAATGCCACTTTTGTAATCAACCCTCCAAGGAAACTGATTGCCGTGGGTCTGCGACTATAAGCCAGCAGTGCTGTGAGAAGCCCTGCTGACTGAGGTGCCTGCAGTGTGGGCTGAGCACCCTCAGGTAGGGAGTGGCTCCTTGAGTTAGCAGGCCACCCATGGTGCTAAATGCAGGGGTCTGCTCTGTGGGACTCTCTCTAAGAAGATGACATTGAGTCCACTAAGTACTGGCCTGTGGTAGATGAGTTTCTGAAGCCTGGTCTTGACTTAACACAGGCCCAAGTGTAAAGAAGGTAGCTGAGGCCAGCCTCCCACAATCCCCAGGGGAAAGCATAATGGCCAGCCTTGCTGAAGAGTGAAAGGGGACCTACTGAGCTAGGCAGCAGGTCCACACTCAGACCCTCTGTCCTCAGACCATCGCGGAGGACCAGGCAATATTAAAATGAATAGTTATGTACTCTTCCCTCAGTATGCTGTCTTGGACCATTTACATCATGCTGTAAAAACCATAACTACCAGGTGCATTGCGTGGGGCGGGGGTCACGGGACCACAGAGGTAGAGACGTGCCAGAGTGGGCTTGAGTCAGTGGGTGACTACTAAGGCAGGTCTTTGACCCCGTTCACTTTGGTGAAACCAGAACCTGAGAAAAAGAAATGAGGGTTGCTATTGCCCCACGGGGATCAGACCAGAAGGCCTAGAGCTTCAGCATGTGATGGTGGTCTCTGAGAGAGGGCTGGTCTCTGGTATGCATAGACATGCTCTTCATTAGGCTTGAGTACTTTTGTGGTACCACAATCACTTCTGAGACTGGGTTGGTGACTTTGAACTCCTACCTAAGAGAAGAGACAGAAACATCAAGCCCACAAACCCAGCACATTCTCCCATGGCTACCTGTACATCCTTACCCTGACTATGGAAGTAGAGACTGTCACTAGAGCTCCTATATCAGGCTCTTTGCACATATCCTCCTCATGTAGCCCACAAATGTCTACCTCTCACAGGAGCACACTCTGGACCATCTAAGGGGTGGTGAGTAGTTTGCTTCTGGGGAAAGGACAGACTTTCCATGGTGGCACCACGGAACTTATGATCCAGCCCTTTTGGCCCTAGCCACATTTCTGTGTAGCCTCGTACTGGGTTTTGGAGTTCAGATGTCAACTGCAGAGCTCCCGACAGGCCATCCTTTCTGTCATCGATTCTGTTGGCTCAGTTGGATCACATGTTGTATGGAAGAGCTCCTTTTCTCAGTGTCTTTCCTTGTCCCAAATGGACAAGTGCAAATGAGCTGAGGTGTGGTGGGTAGAAGGCTCAGGTCCAGACATGTTGGTGGGAGCTGGTTCTGACCATCTATTCCCAGAGCCTGATGCCTAGGACAGCAGCAGAGCTACCCAGGTAAATTCATCACTGCCAATAGTGGCCCCTGCTGATATTGCCCAGGGTATCAAAAATGAAGGGGACAGATTTTATCCTATCTCTCTCTAGTCCCTGGAAACAAGCCGAAATGCACTTGCTGTCCTCTGCCCAGGAAACAGACCTGGGTCTTGGATAAATACTAAATATTGTGTTCATTTGTCCATTTGCTAGAATGTTTTTATTTCCTCATCCATGCAGAGTGTCTTGTCATTCAACCTGCAGGGTTTTCTATGTCCTGAAGGATCCATGGCCACATTTCCCCCACATGAAATGCACTGCACAGAATTGCTGATACCTGCTGCATCTGGCTACTGTGATAGTTTAGAAGACACTGTAGTTGAACACCAAGCACTCTCATGTTGGTGAGTACAAAGCCAAAATAAACAGAGGATACAAAAAAAAAAAAAAGAGATCTGTGATCTATCCAAGGGAAAGGAGAGCATGGGCATCATTTGGAAGGCAGTGTCATCCTCCAAAGAAAGCATGGGGATTTTAGCTTGTACATGTGCAGAGTGGGTGACCATATCTTAACATCTTCAGCAGAGGTGTGTACACCCTACACTCTGAGGATCCTCAGTGAAGGACATGACATCCCTGAGCATGATCTGTTTAAGGCATTGGAGCTCATGTGTGAATTATTCGAATGATGGACAGAAACGTCTGTGGGCATGCCAGCTTGCACTAGAATACTGAAACCTAAAGTATTGGAAGGAACACCTTAGGGGCTCATTGACCCAGGAGTCTGCCCAACTTGGTGCATGTCAGACTGGGAGCTCATGGCTTCGGGATGGGTTCTGGAATTCAGCTGTCAACTGCAGAGCACCTCGTGGCTGTGCTTTCTGTTAGCAGTTCTGTTGGATGGAATGTTGTGGTGAAGGCTGGCGTTGCCACCTCTGGAGCACCAGGCTCACAGCTGTCTGAGGCACAAGCAGCCACTTCTGCCAGATTTCCCATCCCCACACTACTGGCGATCTGTGCCTACATTAGCAAATGTAGCTAAGACATGTCAACAAGCACTTAATGAAAAAGAATATAAAATGTCTCGCTTCCCCCTCCAAGCCTTCCTAACTGGTCTCCTTTTTCTCTCTGAACAGGTGTTGCAGGGATATGGGCGTGGCCCCAGAAACCATGCAAGAAGAAGCACTGACTAATGCCAAGGAGTAATACCCTGCCTGAGGCCCTAGGTTCCCTGTGGAGCCCTCGTCCTCAGTGATGGACCAGCTGCACTTCTGAAAAGTGATGGTGTATGCTCATTCCTGTTGGTTTCCATGCAGAGGTGACTGGTGGCACCAACTCTCCCCTTTTCTCCAGTGTCCTACTATTGCAGCGCCCCGTTCTTGCTCACTGTGTGGCAGGCTTCCTGCTTTTGTCTGGTCCCTGGATGTCTGTGAACTAAAGGAACGGACCCTGGGTTCCTGGCAAATGAGGCTTGCAGGGTGAAGGCGCCATTTACCTTAGTGCAAATGTGGAGAACTGAGGTCTTCTCCCAGTCATTCTGTGAGGCATGGTGTCCCCTCTCTCTCCTCACAGTAGGTGACACTTTCTCTCACAGTTACCCATCCTACAGTGCCCCTCTCTGCTTCCCACACCCTCATGAGGAATGGCGGCACTTGGGCCATAGAGCGTATTAACCTGTGTAGCGACTTTTTACAATGCAAACAAGAGGTACCAATTTGTTCGGCAGACCTGTGTGTGGACAGGTATGTGTTAGGCACGGTGGGATCCTAGGCTCACTGCAGTAACAAAGACACTGTCCTGTCAACAGGCAGAGCTCTAGTGGACGGGAGCATAAAAGAGTGAGGCTACTGCCTGGCTAAGCATGCATGAGGCCCAGGTCAGTCTCAGCGCCTGTGAACACACATATACACACATGCTTGCACATACATGTGCACCCGGGGAGAGATAAGAAAGTATGTGTGGGTAAAGTCTGTGAGTTTGAAGGCAAGAGCAAGGGAGCCCATTTGGAGGAGGGAGCTTCTGTGTTCCTGGAGGAGTTCCTGGATGACCTGACAAGTCACCTCAATTTGGAGCAGGGCTGGGCTCAGCTCCTGCTGTGGGGACTGTGTTCATGTCTCATGGTGTCTTTGGAGGCAAGAAAGTGCAAGAGGAAAGTGTGAAGTGTGCATAAGTGTGTGCCGGGGGCGGGGATGAGGAGGTGCACCCTCCTGACATGTAAGCCCAAGGATGATGGCTGGGATGTGTGGGACGATTAGTTTGTTGCCTTGCTATTTGAGATTTGATTAAAGACATGCTGCTCCTGTCATGAGCTGTGTGAGATTTGAAAACAAAAACCAAAACAGAAAACCAAACAACAAGAACATTTCAGGGGCCCAGTGAACAGTCCTTATTTGAGCCACTGGGGCTGGTACTTGTTACTGGGAGGCTCTAATGGGAAGGGTGTGGGGCCTGCTCAATAGGATCAATCTGAGAGCTTCAGGGCTGTGATCCTGTAGGGTCCTGTGTGTGGGGGCGGTGGGGGCATGGTTAGTTTGGCAGGGGCAGGGCGCGGACAAATGTGGACATGCCTGGGGCTGCGGCTGGGTGGCACAATCAATTGAAGCCTCAAATCTGGTGGAAGACAAAACACTTTGTACCTAGGCTTAGGAGGGGAGCAGGAAACGAGCCCCGGCGTCTTGTCTTCTTCGTCTTTCAGCTGGGTGCACACTGGGGTGCACATACATAGTGTAAAAAGAGCCTAGCAATAGAAGAATTGAAATAGATCTGCATCCCTCACTGTGTACAAAAGTCTGTGCAAAATAGACAAAGGCCTGAATGTAAACCCTGAAGTGCTGCAGCTGTGAGCAGGAAGGAAAACACTGCGTGCACAGGCAAAGACAAGAGCACCGATAGCACAGGAAGGAGCCCACACCGAGAGCACAGGAAGGAGCCCACACCGAGAGCACAGGAAGGAGCCCACACCGAGAGCACAGGAAGGAGCCCACACCGAGAGCACAGGAAGGAGCCCACACCGAGAGCACAGGAAGGAGCCCACACCGAGAGCACAGGAAGGAGCCCACACCGAGAGCACAGGAAGGAGCCCTGTAAGTTGACAAATGAGACAGCATGAAATTAAAAGCTTCTGCACAGCAAGAGATGCTGTCATTAGAGGGAACAGACAGCCTAGAGCATGGGACAAGATCATTGCTGGTGACACTTCTTGTGGGGCATTGACATCTAGAATGTACAAAGCATCGCGGAACTTAAACAGCAGAAAACAACTGGTCAATAAATGGACTAATGAACTGAAGGTTTTCAAAAGGAAACACACAGAGGTCAATACATATTTTACAAGGTCTTCATCTTTCTCCTTCAGGTAAATTCAAGTTAAGGCCCCTTTGAGATTCCATCTCACCTAAACCACAATGGCTGAGATCAGACAACAAATGAAAATTCTGGGAAGGATGTGGGAGGGCCCCTCAGCAATTGCTATTGGGCATGTAAACCGAAGCAACATGGTGGGAATCGGTACAGAGGTTCCTAAAAACAGAACTACCAGATGCCCAGATCTACCATTCCTGAGCTTGCACTCAAAGGATGCTGTCCACATCCAGCCAAGCAGATACCCACACATCCACATGGCTCACAAGAGCAAGACAATTAGGTACAAAAATATATGCCTAAATGAATTCTATTAGTTTGCTGATTGAAAAAATGAACATGTAAGTTAAGGAAGCAAAATATTACTAAGACTTAAATTATATTGAAGGTTTAATTCACAATTAGCCACCTGCATTCTCATGGCAAAGTATAGAATTTAATTTTTCCTTAGCATTCTATAGCTAAAGACAGTAAAATAACATTTAAGATTCTATTGCAAACTGACCCAGCTAAATAAGTGTGAGAAAAAAGGAAGTTCCATGTCTGACCTGAGGAAGTTCCAGTCTGAACCTACTGGGATCTGCAGAGAGAAGACACACTGAGAGCAACAATCCCTGAGTCACACTTGAGTTCCACAGAGAAGCCCAGTGTGTCAGAAACTAAGAACCTGATGAGCTGAAGCAGACACCTTCTAGGAGACAGAGAAATTCTGGGGCTCAGGGGGAAGAACAAAGCAGGGAGGAAGCTGTGTCCCTGGCTGCTTCAGCAGGAGGACTTGGAAGGAGGGAGCAGGGAAACCCAGGAGACAGCAGGACCTGCAGGGCTGGAGGCTGGGGTGGGGCTGTGGCTGCCTCCCTCCTGCCAGCAGCCCTTTGTGATGGAGGCCTCAGTTCTCCTGACAGCCTCAGGCTGTGTTCCCAGGATTCAGTGACTTGAGAGCTGCATCACCGAGATCCCCAGGAGAGACAAGGGTAGAAACTGTGTCAGTTGCCAGGCTGCAGACTCCTCTGTTTGCACACTCACCATCAGAGGTTCAGGAAATGCAAAGAGTCACTCCACCAGCTGCCAGCCATGGGCCCTCCAAGGCCCATCCAGTTACATGGCGGAGCTACCTGAGTGCTCAGACCCAGGCTTTCTGCTTCCAGGCAAGAACCCAGCTGAGCAGGATTGTCAGAGGGACTGGAAGAGGCAGCCTACACCCAAGTACCAGCCCAAGAATGCACAAGCATGCACCATGGAAGAGGTTTAAGAATGTGGTCTCAGGACGTCCCTGCTGGAGTGGAACAATGCTGGGTCCTCAAGAAAGGGTCCCACCTTCAGTGGTCAAACAAACCTATAGATCAGAGGAGAAAGAAGAGGCACACCCTGCCTGGAAAGTGAGCCTGGGATCCACAGAGATTCCCAATGGCCAAGCCATCAATATCCACCTCAGGGACTTTGCGTCTACAGAGGCCCATAGAAGCCCAGGTCAGTTCCAAACACCTACTCCACAGCACTCAGGAGACTCGGCTCTAAAAACACAAGTGTGTAGTGAGGCTGATTTCAGATCAAGCAAGCAGCCACAGGCCTGTTGTGTGGACCATTGTCCAGACATCCCCAGTTCCATGCTCCTTGACACAGTCCATTTGCCTTCACTGTGCTTACTGCCCAGCTTCCAGAATAGATATAAAAAACCCTCAAAACTTCCCAGGGCCTAGGTGATGTCTTCATAAGGCGAGATCAGAGCCTATAGACTCAGACTCAGGAGCTAAGAGTGCCCAAGAATAAGATTCCAACAAGGAATCACAAGATATTTTATTGAAGGGGTTCATGAGATGAAGAACCACATGCTAGGGAGGAAGTTTAGGGAGACTGAGGTCCTCTCAAGCCTGGGGCCTCAATACCCCCACCTCTAGAGGGCATGAGATCCTTGTGATCACAGATAAGCACTAGGAAAACCAGGAATGTTAAACACACAGGGTTGTCTCAATGGAGGAAATGCACACCTGTTTTCCAGCCAGAAGCCTGGGAGGGGATGCAGTTAACAGCCTGGTGAGTTGTACTATTCGTAGGCCCAGGCCACAGCTGAATCTCCTAGACTATTATGTTTATCCCAGACTCTTCTCCCCACACCTTATCTTCAGCTTTGTTTTCAGTCAATAGAACCCATCTTACGGGGAGATGTCACATGTCCTTTATAGGTTGGTAACCTCTAGGCTGTCTGTGTGACTGGGATCTTCCTGTAGGCCCTTAAGCTATAGAACCCATCTTTATGGAAGAAGTCTCATGTCCTTTGCAAAAGAATTTTTTGATGTCATCACCCAGTAGAAATTAGTCAATGGCCTCCTCATAGGTAAACATTAAAACAAGCCTAACTTCTAGTACAGAAACAATTGCAACTAGGACATAAGGCACTTGGACTGGTGCTGGTTGGTTTCTTAGGAACTGTTCATTCAGCAAATGGAGGGCATTCTAGTCTCTTGTCTCATCAATATTTAAATGAATGTTTAGCCGTCACAATGACAAATCAAAAGAGCATCATGTAAAATTTTGGGCTGTGCCAAATGGTTATGCTATCTGCCTGTCAATACTGAAGATTTGGCTGTGGTGTTAAGTAGCTTTCTGGAGACTTGGTTATTATATTCATTATATAAGAAATATAACCTGAAACAGAACAGGTTGCTAGCACATTACATTTTTTAAAATTTAAATTAGAAACAACCTCATTTTACATATCAATCCCAGTTCCCTCCCATGCCCCCCACTGGCCCTCTATCCCATCCCCTTTCGGCTCCCCAGGGAGGGTGAGGCCTTCCATTGGGGATCTTCGAAGTCTGTTTTATCATTTGGAACAGGGCCTAGTCCCTCCCCTGTGTGTCTAGGCTGAGAGAGTATCCCTCTATGTGGAATGGGCTCCAAAAGTCCATTTGTATGCTAGGGATAAATACTGATCTACTACCAGAGGCCTTAAACATTGCCCAGGCCTCCTAACTGACACCCACGTTCAGGGGGTCTGGGTCTGTCCTATGCTGGTTTCTAAGCTCTCCATCTGGGGCCCATGAGCTTCCATTTGCTTAGGTCAGTTGTTTCTGTGGGTTTCTCCAGCCTGGTCTTGACCCCTTTGTTCATCACTCTTCCCTCTCTGCAACTGGATTCCAGAGTTCAGTTCAGTGTTTATCTGTGGGTCTCTGCTTCTGCTTCCATCAGCTACTGGATGAAGGCTCTAGGATGGCATATAAGGTAGTCATCAATCTCATTATAGGGGAAGGGTATTTAAAGTAGCCTCTCCACTATTGCTTAGATTGTTAATTGGGGCCATCCTTGTAGATCTCTGGACATTTCCCTAGTGCTAGATTTCTCTTTAAACCTATAATGGCTCCCTCTATTATGGTATCTCTTTTCTTACTCTCCTCTATTCTTCCCCCAAAATCAATCTTCCTGCTCCCTCATGTTCTCCTTTCCCTTCCTCTTTTCCCCTTTTCTTTCTCCTAGTTCCCTCTCCCCTCCCCCATACTCCCAATTAGCTCAGGAGATCTTGTCCCTTTCCCCTTCTTCGGGGGACCCTGTATGTCTCTCTTAGGGCCCTCCTTGTTTCCTACCTTCTCTGGCAGTGTGGATTGTAGGCTGGTAATCCTTTGCTCTATATCCATATATGAGAGAGTATATACTATGCTTGTCTTTTTGTAGCACATTAAATATTGCTGCTCTAAATGGTAGCTCAGAGAATCTGTCACATACTAATCAGTTTCTTACTCTTCCTTCCTCCTTATCACCTATGGAAATTACATATCAACAAGGTAATGATATCATAGAAATGTATACATGTCACTGTTCTCCACAATGATCTATAACTCATTTACAAGGAATTATAGACAATAATTTTGGGAAGTACATGTCTTAAAGAACTTACTGGTAAAAAGTCTACAGGAATAATGGTGCCTCTAAATAGAATGCAGACTATTTG